TCGCAAACGTACCTGGAGTTGTTGGGTTTTGTTTCATTCACACATGTTTAACATTAAAACTCTGCATATTTAGGCTGTTCTTCTCTGAAACTGAAAGTAACTGTTCCACTTTGCGAAATGGTAATACAGGACATGCTCCACTGTGTTTTTAAGCTCCATACATATTCACTAGAATTATTTGGATAATTTCAGCCCTGGAATTGCTGATCTCTACTGAACTAAAGGTAAAACTCAGGTGTTAACTTGAGAACTACCGCTTCATGACATTCACAAGGTGGAACAGAGCATTTTGAGCTTTGATAATAGATAGACTAAGAATAAAAGATAACTGAAACCTGTGAATGAATGAGTTTTTGATGAGGTAACAACATTCTAAAATGGCTTAATAGTAACATAAGACCTTTAAAGGTGTACCATGAAAATTTACGGCAGAATATAACGTTCAGTGTTTCCATGAAGATGAGTGAAATGTGTCACAGTACGATGTTGTATCTATCTTCTTTGATGCCACTAATGCAAGCTAGAGTTCTGGTCTGTGGACTGGCAATTTCACTCAGAGTAAGAATGTTTAGGGACAGTTTGGAGACAGTTTGGAATTTTGGACATAGGGCCTCATTTCCTAGTGAGCCAGAGTGTTGGAGATGTGTGGAGATAAAATATTCCATCCAGCCCTTGTATTTGCAGAGGTCGCTGGTGCTAGGCTAGTGCATGTCAATGGCCATAGTTATCCTGCCACTAAAAACAGTCTTACCCACTGCACAAAACACCCGAAGCAAATCTATTATTACACCAGACGGTCGAAGTAAATGTCTGTGTCGATATCATAATGATGTAAATAAAAGTAACTTTGCATCACATGAATTGTCCCATGTTGAGGGACTATTTTCTCATATATCAGTCCGCCATTGCCAAACTTTTAATTTGTGAGTACAGCTCACTGCTGCTGCTCAGACATAGATGCTTCAAATGCAATGTTGGTTTTACTTCTAAAATGATTCTATCAACACAGACATTTACATCGACAGTCTGGTGTAATAATAGATTTGCTTCGGGTGTTTTGTGGAGTGGGTAAGACTGTTTTTAGTGGCAGACTAACTATGGCCATTGACATGCACTGGATGGAATATTTTTAAAAGTGTCTCAATTTGTCTCTAACACTCTGGCCCACTAGGAAATGAGGCCTGATGTCCAAAAACCCAAACTATCCCTTTAAGTGTGCATTGTGTAACTTTTCTGGTGGAGGGTCTGTCAAACACTTTTCTCCATGGAGATATTGCTTTGTTTGAAATGTTTCACAGTGTGATATTAAGCCTGTCTAGCTTCAAGGAGACCAAATCAGATGAAGTTACAGGTCAAAAAGTTGGTGGTTCAACTCCAGCTCCCAGCACTGCATACATTTGTTTTCCCCTTGTGCAAGACACTTCACCCACTTAGTTTGTGTTTAAATTTCTGACTGGTATTCAGAGGGGCATTAGACACTCTTCATTGACGTGACAGGTGAAGCAACTTTTTAAACTCCACAACAGAAAGAGTAAACCTAGAATCTCTCCAAAAATAGCTGTTCGGTTTTGCCCTTTTCACGGCGCTGTCAGCCGCGGACAGTACAGCTCCGGCCAGTCTCTTAACCTTTTCTGAAGCAACATCCAACTTCTTAATAAGTTTGCCTGATTGATTTTCGTACGAGAATTGAGTCCGTCCAGCACAGAGCGTGGACCACCAGACTTTGAAGACTTCAGATGGGGGAGTCAATTGATTTGAATGGCCCCAATTAGACGCCATGATTAATTGAGTGTGATTGGATGTGGTCCGCGGTGCATCGTCGTTAATGTTATTGACAGGCAGGCTAATTGGTTCCCATGGCGACGGATTAAGCACTGCAGAAGTACGTGAGGCATATGAGTGACCCCAAATCAACCAATCAGAGTTGTTTTGGTGAGGGTTTCACAGAGGACCAAGCACGCACCGAAACAGGGTAACAAAAGGAGTTAGCTAGTTTACTTGGAGATAGAAGTTGTTAAGAAAAAAAACAAATAGAAACTTTTTTTTCTGTTTTGTCATGAAAAGTTCTATCTTTTAGTTGTTCTTATACTTTATATATATATATACTTTTTTTTTTTTTTTTAATAATACTTTATTTCAGGGTATTCTTAAAATGACAGTAGCTCAGTTGGTAGAGCATTCGTCCACTGATCTAAAGGTTGGTGGTTACAGCTCCCACAAATGAATGCTGTCATTGTGTCCTTGGGCAAGACACTTAACCCACCTTGCCCTCAGTGTTTGCGTACACTGGTGTATGAATGTGTGTGTGAATGGGTGAGTGGTTCCTTGTTGTAAAGCGCTTTGAGTGCCTTGCACGTGGAAAAGCGCTATAGAAAAATGTGACCATTTACCATATTAACATCTGAGTACCTACTAATTAGCACACCGTATTTTACAGGCTATTAGGCGCTCTGGATTATAAGGCGCACTGTCATTAAATGGTCTATTTTAGAATTTTTTTCACAAATAAACCGCATCGGACTACAGTTAGATGGGTCAGTCGCACTTTTTTGGCGCGTGCACGGTGACTCTGGGCTTTGTTCAGTTGTGGCGTGTAGGGAGGGTGCTGTCTGGGGCCACTGGATTGTCGGCGTGTTCGCAGTGACTCAGTTGTTCAGTCGTGTCTAGAAGTGGCACATTGGACTCACTTTTTCGGTTCGTTCCTCCATTCTGTTCCCCGTCGGCGTGGAGTGATGAGTGTGGCTGCGGGTGTTTTTCACTGCTCGGTCGCTGTCTGCTCCGTGTGTTTGCGTGCGCTGCGGGTGGTGCGGCTTTGTAGTTTACTGAAGTGGTGCTGGGACACCTGAGTGGATTCGTGTATGGGGTGCTCTGGATTGCAGGGCGCGCTGTTGTTTTTGATGCGGTTAGAGGCTTAAGAGCGTGTCTAATAGCCCGGAAAATACAGTAGTTGTAAATGGTTAATTTGTCATTAATTAGTATTCATTTAGCTCTTATTAATGCCTAAAGTGTATTTTATTATTAGTTAGACATTTACACAGTTTACCAGTCAATTCACAATAAACAAATGAATAAACAGAATGTTCCACAGGATGACATTACACAGATCTGAGCCGTAACTTGGTCGAGTTTGGTCTCCATGGAACTAGAAACGTTTAATACTATACTGTGAAACATTCTAGACAAAGCAATAACATCTCAGATAAAAGCATTTTGCAGAATTGCAGAATTTCAACTAAAAAAACAAACAAAAAAACATTAACATCTAACTGGTTGATAGTTAATTTGTCATTAATTAGTATTTATTCATCCCTTATTAATGTCTAATTCCCCATAAGTTTATTCTGCTATTAGTTAGAAATTTACAAACACTTTAATATTAATACACTCCCTATTACTGCTTATTAATATGATAGTAGGCCATTTTTGTCCATGAATTATAATTCTAATAAGCTTTTGGTGCAAGTAAGTAAAATCTACATTTCTTGTGGTACTAGTCCTTAACAGCATCAGCTTATTAGAATCATAATTCATATACAAAAATGGCCTAGTATCTCAGTAGTAGAAGTAATAAGGAGTGTATTAATAGTGAAGTGTTTGTAAATTTCTAACTATTTGACATCTGACATTTACAAATCAAGTGTTACCTTTTTTTTTTTTAGTTGCCATGTCTGCGATCTTAAAGGTTCATTGTGTAACTTTTCTGGTGGAGGCTCCATGAAATGCTTTTCTCTGAGATGTTATTGCTTTGTCTGGAATGTCTTACAGTATGGTATTAAACCTTTCTATCTTCATGGAGACCAAACCAGACCAAATTACAGCTCAGATCTGTGTAATGTCATTCTGTGGAACGTTCTGTTTATTCATTTGTTTATCATGAACCGATTGGTAGACCGTGGATGCTACTACAACTCCAACAAACAGCATTCACATTTGTAGTTTTTTTTATTAGTCATGTAGTTCTTTATCTTGTTTTTGTTAGCCTTTTTCTTTTTTCAATCTCATTACTGCTCTGTGTCTGCTCCTATTGTACAGTTGGAATCGATTTAGGCCTTCCAAAACATTATTACTTCAAAGTTGTTTTGTACCGTGGGTCAAAAATAGGGAACATTACAATGGGGTTGTGTACGAACTCTAATAAATGGGCAAGACTTAAAAACTAAAAAACAAAAATGACACACGCACAAAAAAGACTCTCCATCTTCATGAAATTGTTTTCCTTAAAGTGGGGGTATAATGTTAATCCCTCTTCAAAAACATGCCTGAAGACGTTTTAGATGTCATCCATGCATGTTTGAGTGATTTAGTGATCTCTCCAGGGCCCTATCCTTACCCTCTTGATCTTGCGCGGTAATTTTCCATAGATTTACAAAAGCATGATACAAATCAGTACACTACAACTTCACAATGTGCAGTAGTTTCATTATCAGATGCACAAAAATTGTAATGTGATAGGTGTCTGAAGGGGGAGTGACTTAGCACAGAGAGCGATGGGAGTTGAAAGCGCCAAAAATTATTTCAATATGTTGTTTTCGGTGAATACGGCATTTTTAAACCAGCATAAAGTAACGTGGTGATAAATTTTTTTTGGTTTGTTTCTATGGACACGTCACTGCTCTGCTTGGAATGTTCCACAGTACGACTTTAAAAAGCTGTACCATTCATTTATTCAACTACAGTTGGTTTTCTAGCTCAAAAATACCTAGAAAAACAAGCATTCTGACTGTGAGCGGGGTCGCCTTTCCTCTCCACAGATCTGGCCTGTAACTTGGTCTGGTTTGGTCTCCATGAAGATAGAAAGGTTTAATAACATACTGTGAAACATTCCAGACAAAGCGACAACATCTCCGTGAAGAAAAGCATTTGACGGACCCTCCACCACAAAAGTTACTGTTCTAATCTCAAATCGGTTTTTCGTTTTGTCATTTTAGCCATGTCACTGTATTTGATTTTTCACTGAAGGTTTGTAGACTTAAAGAGGATTCTGTTGTGTCTTTTTGCAGTGCCTCCTGGAGATCTGCTCATCACCTGTCGTTCTAACACATACCCCAAAGGATTCTACTGCAGCTGGACCCTCATGCACCGCACTTTCATCCCCACCAGCTTCGAGGTCGACGTGCAGTAAGTATATTTGATTTGTCTCTGTATTTTTGATCATGGGAGTAGTAGCCGGTGTACCTGTTATCATATGGCGTAACCCGGTTTTAGATTCAGGTTAGGGTTAGGTTAGGATAGGGTTAGGGTTAAAGGTTGAATCTACAGCTCAAACAGTGAGAGATACAGGACTACATTCATACCACACTCCATACAGCTGTCCAACTTTTGTAATACATAACTCTATGTCCTATCAATCATTATTTCATCTTTGAGTGACAATAGCTCAGTTGGTTGAGCGTTCAGGAGACCGATGATCAGAAGATTGGCGGTTTGAATTCCGTTCTCGACATAAACATCATTGGTTGAACGGTCAGATCCACTAACCCACAGGTTGGCGGTGCGATTCCAGCTCCCACAGATGAATGTTGTATCCTTCAGCTAAGAACTTAACGCCTCTAGTGTACACTGGTGTATGAATGTGTGGAATTACACTGTAAACAGTGTTGGGGGGTAACAGATTACATGTACCAGAGTTACGTAATCAAAGTACAAATTATGAGTAACTGTATTCCGTTACAGTTACTGTTTCAGTGAGTGGCAATTGGATTACAGTTACTTTGCTGAAATAAATGGATTACACGGCGGTATTTTCCTGTTTTCACATTTTGGGCTATATCCCTTTTCTTTTCTTTTTTTTTCAGTAATTCCACTCATTGCCGGAAACTAAACCAGGTCCAAACTATATCTTAACCAGGACTAAACCAGGACTAAAACCAGGTCTAAACTAGATCTAAACCAGGTCTAAAACAGGTCTAAAATCAGGTCTAAACCAAGACTAAACCAGGACTAAAACCAGGTCTAAACTAGATCTAAACCAGGTTTAAAACAGGTTTAAAACCAGGACTAAACCCAGACTAACCCCAGACTAAACCCGGACTAAACCAGGACTAAACTAGGGCTAAACCAGGACTAAACCTGGACGAAAACAGGACTAAAACAGGACTAAACCATGCTGTGTGGACCATGTCTCCTCCTCTTCTATCAATAATATGTTGGTACTTTGGTTCAGTAAAGTCTGGGCTTTTCATTTTCTTTTATCAGACAAAACATCTTATGTGAAGATTTCCTCATCTTTGCTTCTCTACAGCAAATCAAGTAATCCAAAGTATTCAGATTACGTTACTCACCTTAAGTAACTTAATGGATTACATTACAAACTACATTTTGGGGTATGTATCTGTAATCTGTAGGGGAATACATTTTAAAAGTAACCTTCCCAACACTGATTGTAAATGTGTATAAATCTGACAATTTACCATTTACCATCTCATCTGGACCACCATCCATTATTCACTATCAGATGTAAGTAAATAAATTAATAAATCATAATTTTAATCATTATAATTTCAAAACCAGCTTGTTTAAAATAAAACTAACCTTGCATCGCATGAATCGTCCCATGCTGATGGACTATTTTCTCAGCAGCAGCGGAATTTTATTTTGCCGGTAAAACTGGTGCTAGGTGATATCAGTCCGCCGCTGCCAAGCTTTCTAACAGGAAGTACAACTCGCTGCTGTTGCTCAGACATAAATCCTTATTTCCCATATCAACACAGACATTCACAGCAACAGTCTGGTGTAATAATAGATTTGTTTTGGGTGTTTTGTGAAGTGGGTAAGACTGTTTTTAGTGGCGGGCTAACTATGGCCTTTGACATGCACTAGCCTAGCACCAGCAGCCTCTGCAAATACAAGGACTGGATGGAATATTTTAAAAACTGTCTCCACACGTCTCCACCACTCTAATATTTTAAAAAGCATCTCCACATGTCTCCAACACTCTGGCTAACTAGGAAATGAGGTCCTATGTCCAAAATTCCAGATAAGTATGTATAATATCAGAACCAGATTTTTACTGTCCTAAAATATGAAAAACAGGTTTCAGTGGTCCAGATGTATTCCTCACTTACCTTTTTCCAGTACAGAGACTAGCACATCAGTCAATCAAACTTTATTCATAGAGCCCTATACAGTCAAGGCGACCAAACTGCTTTCCAAAAACACACACAAAAAAAACAACAATACAATATAAAAACATTCAAATATGAAATAAAACTAATTGTGCAAAGTGTCACTACATTACTAAGTGTTTAAAGCCAGTCTGAATAGATGAGTTTTGAGTCTGAGATTGAGGATCTGTTTACACGAGAACGCTTGCGGGTAAAAACAACAAAATATTTTATCGGAAGTGCCTTTCCTTTAGACGGAGACGACATTTTGGGGCTTAAAAACGTAAAAATCTGAAAGCACCCTCCAGAGTGGAAAAGTTGAATACACTCCTCCGCAGCGTTTCCATCAACACTACCCAAGACGCAAAACTCGTAAAACGCGTTTACATCACATACATACAGTACACAGGAACAAACATGTATCCAATGTATTCCACACACTTTTGCGTCATCATATGCACGCAGATTCCTGAAAACGCTCGTCTAAACACGGAATAAAAAGTGAAGACGTGACGCCACTTTTGCATCTTCTGTTCAGCATCTTCAGTCATCATATAAATGTCTGTGATGCTGCGCAAATCAGGGGGCAGTTTGTTTCAGAATCATGTCCAGTACATAACAGTAATGCCAACAACAACTAGCATGCTAACGCTTAAAACACTTTCCTAGAAGCAGACAGTACGCAGCGGACTTATTTTGACCTCAGCAGCTGCTCATACAAAATATCTGTACTAGGGCGAGACAAATTTAGCTCAAATACACGGAAAAACATCGGTTACGGGACCTTTAACTGCTCACATCAAAACACCGCGTTCTTTTTTGTAACGACTATAATCAAACACAACTCAAACTCACTCTAGCTCACTCTACTCAACATTTCTAAACCCTCTTCACCTCACCCCTCCCTGTACCTTTCTGTGACTAAACATGAAAGCCTGGCCCTTTGACAGGCCCTGCACACGGTCCCTGTCATGTTTAGATCACAGCAAGCAGCAGGTGGACTCAGCTCCATTAGAATACTGACAATACTGACGCACAAATGCCATTCACTTTGAACATAACCAGCTGTGGATCTATTTATTTCTGCCGCACATGAAGCCTTTCAAAGCCCGGTATCCGTTTTTTGTTTTGTTTTTTTCCATATATTTGCACGGTATTAGTATATATCTAAAATGAAGTCAAAGTGTACTGCCTTTGTCTAATTTTGAAGCATTTTCTTGTCAGGGAATCAGGGAGTGTGCAGTTAGCATGCTAGTTGTTGTTAGTATTATGACGGCAAACTCCGCTCTGGCCTCTGAAAGTTCCGAATAGCTCTTATGTATACTTTGGATGTTAGGAATGCATAAGATAAGTGAGGATTAACTATGGATGACTGTAGAAATTGCTTAAAATTGAATTTGTTCTGTTTTTGAAGACAGGTTGGTCTACAGCGATTTAAAGAGTGAGTATACTTCTTTCCAACGTATGCACAATGCAGAAGTCACTATCCCTAGAAAAAGACTATAGATATTATGTTATAGATGAGTAATCATAACTTCATTGATTGATTTATTTCAGTCACAGGTATATTCTGACATTATTTCACAGACATATTTCACATATTTAACATACACAAACCGAAAAGTTGTAGCTGAAGCTTGAGTTTATTATGCCTTTACCCTTTATTGCTTTATCAGAGCGTCATCTTGACACCAGTTCATCTTCATAAATCAATCAATCAAATCAGTCACAGTACAACAAAGTACAACAGCACAAACTAGTCTCATAATTCATGTATCTGCCCAGAGTTAATCATTTAAACTTCTTTATAAAATGGAAGAGAGTGGTCTACAATTTTAGGTTTTCTGTACAGTTGCACCACAGTTCCACCACTTTAACAGATATTTAAAACTGCATAATGTTTGTTCTGATTTCTTTTTGAGAAACACGGCTGTTCCTCTGAGCTCATATCGACTATTTCAGATTTTAAACATATTCTGTAATGATTTTGACAAGAGATTGTTGTTTACTTTGAACATGATTTTGAAAGTGTAAAGGTCGACTAAATCGTAAAATTTCAGAGTTTGAAAGTTTATAAATAATGCATTGGTTGGTTCATTATAAGTTGATAATGTGGTATTAGTCTTATATGTATTGCTTCAAATCTCAACACAATAGGTTATGTAGGGTGTACCAGCGAGTTGTATCTAATAAAAAGATTTATCTAGGATACATCTATATTTGTATAGCATTGCGATTACTTTGGGTAATTTTTTTCTAATTTTATTAATGTGTGATTTCCAGTTTAAATTATGATATATAGTTCAAAACTCCAAAAGCTGTTTTCTCAATGTTCATTTTCTCTCACACATTGAGTAGCACATTCAGTTTTTTTGTTTGTTTGTTTGCTGTACCAGATTCAGTGTTGGGAAGGTTACTTTTAAAATGTATTCCCCTACAGATTACAGATTACATACCCCAAAATGTAGTTTGTAACGGAATCCATTAAATTACTTAAGGTGAGTAACGTAATCTGAATACTTTGGATTACTTGGTTTGCTGAAGAGAAGCAAAGACGAGGATATCGTAACATAAGATGTTTTGTCTACTAAAAGACAATAAAAAGCCCAGTTTTTACTTAACCAAATTAAAAATAGTATTGATAGAAGAGGAGGAGACACGGTCTACGCAGCATGGTTTAGTCCTGTTAAATCCTGTTTGAGACATGGTTTAGACCTGGTTTAGTCCTGGTTTTAGTACTGGTTTAGTCCTAGTTTAGACCTGGTTTAGACCTAGTTTAGACCTGGTTTTAGACCTGGTTTTAGACCTGGTTTTAGACCTGGTTTTAGACCTGGTTTTAGACCTGGTTTAGACCTGGTTTGGACCTGGTTTAGTGTCCGGCAATGAGTGGAATTACCGGGGGAAAAAAAAAAAGGGATATAGCCCAAAATGTGAAAACAGGACAATACCACTGTGTAATCCATTTATTTGAACAAAGTAACTGTAATCTAATTACCACTCACTCTTAATTTGTACTCAGATTATGTAACTCTGGTACATGTAATCTGTTACTCCCCAACACTGACCAGATTTTTCTGCCTTAATAACATGTAAAACAGAACTAATTTTAAGCAATTTGCAGTGGACTTAAGTCATTCCTCACATACTTTATCTATTACTCGCATTCTTATTACTCACCGCAAAGAGTTTATAAACTTCTCAGAACTGTCAGAGACCAGAGTGTGAGAGTTTTCCTGTCACCATAAAGTCAACAAAAATGGGTATGTTAACATCTTACCTGCGTTCCTTCCTAGTTCTAGGACAATAAAAATGCTTTATAATTATATGCAGACAACACACAAAGGTTTTATTTTGGTCCTTAGAGCTGCTTTTATAATACATATATATAAAAAATACAACTAGCGGGTAGAGTTACTAGTACTTTAAATGTACATTGTGTAACTTTTCTGGTGGAAGGTCCATCAAATACTTTTCTCCATGGAGATGTTATTGCTTTGTCTGGTATTAAACCTTTTTATTTTCAAGGAGACCAAACCAGAGCGAGTTACAGGTCAGATCTGTGGAGAGGCGACCCCGCTCACAGTCAGTACAGAGGTTTTTCTAGGTATTTTTGAGCAATAGAACCACCTGTAATCGTAAGGTAGAACTGTTTAATAATGTCATACTGTGGAACATTCCAGGCAGAGCAATGACATATCCATAAAAACAAGAAGGTGGCGGACCCCTAACCAAAAGGTGCACCAAAAACATTCTACGTGTTGATCTTTGCGTTGCCAGATCAGGAGACAAAAAAACTGTTATGTCCTTGAACTAGAATCTCAAGTTCGTCGCTCCAACCCTGCGTGTTTGTGAGACCAAATGAGCAAATGGACAAATGGACATTAAAGATATGAAGAGACAGAGCTGGCAGAACAGAACAAAAGCACTTTGTAGCATAAGTGGTACCGCTGCAACACTCTGGAGGTCAACTAAGACAAGCTACGGTCCACTATTAAAAGAGCTAATGGATAATAGTCCCACTGGTCCTGTCCCCCTTTTCCTTTCAAATTAGAAAAACTAAAACGTCAAGACAACATAATCATTTAAACTTGATCCAGGATTTGTAATTTCCATTGTTTAATTACAATATTTGGAAGCTATTTTTTAATTCACTCAGCTCCCAGTAAAGTTTCGAGGACAACATTTTTATGCTGTTCATAATTTTTCAAAGCCAGCTGGTGGCAAAGAAAAAAATCACTTGCAAAAACAGATCAATGCCATTTTAAATTAGTCTATGAAACACAATACAACTCCAGGTATGTTTTTGATGAGGTAACAACATCACAACATGCCTTAAAGCTCACGAGAGTTTATTTGACTTAATATACGATCTTTAATCTTTACTCTTCTTGTCCGTTTTCAGACACAACCAGCGCTCTCTGGAGGTGCAGACTGACCCCTTCCATAAGAACCGCTGTCACGTGCGTTTCCCTGAGGTCTTCTCCAGCTTCCGTTACCTGGTCAACGTCACCGCGGTCAACGCCCTGGGCAAGGCCGCCTCCACATACACGTTTGAGGAGTCCAGCATAGGTAAGAAGAATAAGTGCTGGTCATTGGAATGGTTAGAGATGGCGTGGGCACTTGCATTACTGAGGACCAAGGAAAGAGCCGGGAGGTGTTTAAAGGTCCAATGTGTAACTTATCTCTGTATGGTCTGCTACCTTTTTGTCTCTATTGACTTTTTACTTTCACTTTTATGGCAAAGGAGAAATTCAGTTTGTCAACTGGACAAAGTTTATTTGGTCAAATATGTTTTTCAGCTCATCCAAGTTGCTTCTTCAGTTTGATGAGCTGCGAAATGACCAAATAAACTTTGTCCAGTTGACAAATTGAATTTCTTCTTTGCCATGGATTCTACCCGGATGATGAGTCTCTTTGCTTAAATTAAGAATTATGGTGCAATATTAGATTAAAAATTAAAAATTAAAAAAAGACAGCGGGAACTACCTAGACCATGATCCTTTGCTCCATTTCAGGTAGACTATAGTAGATAATAGAAATAATAGTTCTAAGCACTTTTAAGACTTAGTTCTTTGGATTTAGTCTTGTCAAGGCATTTTAAGAGGAAAAAGTAGCATATTCACAGTTTTGCTAGCCTCCACAAAATATCACAATAAATATTGTACCGTGCGATGTATATCGTGGAAATATTGTGTGAGAGATTTGGATATTGTTACATCGTGAGTCTCCCCACCATATTGTGAGTTGCCCCATGACATCACAATAATATCATACTGTGAGGTTCATACCGTGACAATATCATATCGTGAGACTTGGATATCATTACACCCCTAATTAGTAGTATTTATATGACTGACTTTGAGGCGTTTTGCAAAACAGTACCTTGTTTTTACAATTACCTTATTCAGCATTACACAAAATTGACTTGGAGTTGTGAATGCACACATGTTTGAGCAACCTTCTTTAAAGTTCAAAATGCGCTGTTCCATCTTGTGATGTCATGAAGCTGTAGTTTTCCACTTAAGTGCTGCCTTTTAGAGATCATCAATTCCAGGGTTGATGAATTATTCTAATGAACGTGTGTGAACTCCAGGTATGTTTGTCATAAGGATAAACAACATTCATTATAATATGGATCAGAAAATAGCTTAATATGGGCCCTTTACTGATTATTGGTTTCGTGAACCTTGCAGTAATTTTCTGCTAATTACGTATAATTAAGTATAGATTCATGGAAATGTTTCAGTGTATGCAAACATATGCGTGTTTATAGATTACTGAAGAATGAACACATTTGCATCCACTGTAGAATTCATGGAGGATTTTTTTTTTCTTTTGGGCTGTGTTCCAGTTTATGGCATTAAACCTGATTCTTGTATTCAATTGTAGGCATTTTATTGCTCAAAAATACCTCGAAAATCATATTCATACTGTGAGCTGGCTCGCCTCTGCATAGATCTGACCTGTAACATGCCATACAGATAAAGCATGCTTCAGAAAAAGATACACAGTGCATCTTTAAAGAGGCATTATTACACTTCTGTGGGGCAATAAACAGTCATTTGTAAGATATTATTAACATTTTTTAATAAGTTTCGGTTTCATTTTGGCACCCTGAGTCTCTCATTCTCTTACTCCTCAGGCTAAGTCACTCCCCTTTCAGAGTACTATCATATTACAGTTGATGTGCATTTCGCTAATTATACTACTTCACATCACATCAGGTTTGTGAAGTTATAGTGTATTCTTTTGTGTCCTGCTTTTGTATTAAAAATGATCATGCGGGATTATGGGTAATGTAGGCTTTTAGTGCCCAAACAAGATCTTTAGATTACTCAAACATGCAGGGGTGACAAATAAATCCTCTTCAGGCTTGTTTTTGATGTGGGAACAATGTTATAACATCGTAGAAAGCTCCAAAAAGTCAAATTTTGCATAATATCCCCTCTTTAATGTTGGTGGTGGTGCTCGAACTCTGCTCACAAGCTGTTTATCGCAGCTGTTGTCTGTTTCAGATGAATGCATGAGTCATATTTTTGAAATACCTTTAACCAAGACAACAAACAACTCCAAAACAGGTCACCGTTTTGTAAGCTGACCTTTTATCTTTGTTGAAAATGGAAATTGAGAAATTCATCATTTGGCAAAGAGAAAGTTGTTTGCATATCAGCGAAAGTTAAAATGTCACCCGTCTAAAAAGTTTACCTGTCGTTTCAAATTGCGGATTGATTCTTCTGAGTACCCTTTACGTGTCACCAACCAAACTCATTTGAACTTAGATCAGGGACGAAACTAAAATCCTCTCCGCTCCCGCTTTCTGCAAACAAAGTGCAAAGTTCCACGCTGCTGAATGTCAGTCTTGAATTGCGTTAATGCATTCTCTTTACAATGCGCTTCACTTGACTCTTTATTCAGAACCTTTCCAAACAAACTTCTATAAAAGACAAATGGGATTCTCAGAAGCCAAATAAATGACATCGGACCGCCTCCAAAAGGGCACAGTCGTCCATTTGATGATAAACTCAGCCACCGGACGCCCAAGTTATTACCAAATGTATCATAAAGAACATATTTAATAGTAGCATAGCAGTACAGGCGCTGCATGGTTGCAAATCAATTCCCACTTTAAACACAAACTGCCTTTTCAGATGTCTTTTATGAACTTCTTTAAAAGGTCCATATTACGCTATTTTCTGATCTTCGTTTTAATGTTGTTTTCTCATCAAAAATAGACCTACAGTTTTGTTTTTGTTTCATTCACACGTCTAACACACAACCCCTGCGTTTTTATGGCTGAGTTCTTGCCTCAAACAGAAAACACTCTGTCCCATTTTGTGAGGTCGTGGTAAATCAGGAAGCGCTCAAGTGTGTTTTGAAACTCCATACACCGTCACTAGAATCATTTGGGTAATGTCAATCAAATGCATACCTGGAGCTGTATTTTGGTTCATTCACGCTTGTCGTCTCCCCATAGCGCTCAAAATGCTCTGTTTGCATTTTGCCTGGATTGTTGCATCACAGGTAAAAAAGATTATTGCGAGCCTTAAAGGGACAGTTCAGAATTTTGGACATAGGACCTCATTTCCTAGTGAGCCAGAGTGTTGGAGACGTGTGGAGACACTTTTTTAAATATTCCATCCAGTCCTTGTATTTGCAGAGGTTGTTGGTGCTAGGCTAGTGCATGTCAATGGCCATAGTTAGCCTGTCACTAAAAACAGTCTTACCCACTCCACAAAACACCCGAAGCAAATCTATTATTACACCAGATTATCGATATAAATGTCTGTGTTGATAGAATGATTTTAGAAGTAAAACCAGCCTTGCATTTGAAAGATTTACGTCTGAGCAGCAGCAGTTATTTGCACTTCCTGATAGAAAGCTTGGCAACAGTGGACTGATATATGAGAAAAAAGTCCCCCCAACATGCGACTATTCATGCGATGCAAGGTGTCTCCACATGTCTCCAACACTCTGGCTCACTAGGAAATGAGGTCCTATGTCCAAAATTCCGGATTGTCCCTTTAAGCCATGTAAGAATGCTGTTACTTCATCAAGAAAGTGCTCCACTGTGTTTTTAAACTCCATACATCTTCACTAGAATCATTTGGAATGATCTCTGAATTCGAATTGCCAATCTCTACCGAACTAAAGGTAAAGGTAGTAACTTGAAAACTACCACAGGGTTAGGGTTATCATTATCATTATCATCATTATATTTTTTTAGGGTCATCACAAGGTGGAACTGAGCATTTTGAGCTTTGGTGATATAGGTAATCCAATAATGCAGGGCCATACACCTTAACAAGAATCATTTGGATGAATCAACAAGGTTTTTCCAGGACATTTTTAATTATGTAATCACAACATCTACAAATACATGACCCCCTTTTTTCTGCTAAAGTTGCAGTCTAACTATACCCAAAGTCTACAGTGATGTAAATTATTTACACTCCAAAGCAAACAGTAATAATATTCATTTTAATTTACACTACCGGTCAAAAGTTTTAGAACACCACTCTTTTTCCATTTTTTTTTTTTTTTTATGTGTACTGTTTACTGTTGACCAAAACATATTCTAAACTTTTGACTCATGATAGTGTCCACCTTTGGCTGATATAACAACTGAACACACTCGTAGCATTCTTTGTACAATAGAAATCAAATATTCAGAAAGTTCTTCCCGAGTGTGTTGCAGAAGTTCCCAGAAATGTGTGGAACTTCTGTCCAGTTCATCCCAAATCAGCTCGATGGGGTTTAAGTCTGGACACTGTGCTGGACACTCCATGTTTTCAAGCTTCACCATCTTGTTCTTTTTTCCTGAGGTAGTTTTGGCAGAGCTCGGACTTGTGTTTTGTTCTTTTATCTTTTTCTGGCTGTTCAGTTTTTACCTTTGTACCATTTCAAGCTCTTCATTGGACTTGCACGACTTGAACTGCAATAAATAACTTGAAAAATTAGGGTGTTCTAAAACTTTTGACCAGTGGTGTATACAAACATTTGGTTGCCTTTCACCTTGAGATGTCATGGGTAATACAAGTGCTACACCATGTTTTTAAACTCCATACACCTTCACTAAATCATTGGGACCATTTTAGCCCTGGAATTGCCAAACTCTTCTGAGCTGAAAAAAAACTATCACAACATGACATCACATGGTGGAACTGAGCATGTTGAGTTTTGGCGATGTACGCAACCCAGTAACGCGGGATTACTCAAACACGTGTGAATGAAACAAAACACAACTCCGGTTATGTTTTTGATGCGGTAAGTACATTCTAACATGGCTTCAAGCTCTCAAAAGTAAATTCTTTGCAATATAGGGCCTTTAAACGGGTTGCATAATATGTGTAGTTTATGCTGAAACAGTTTTGCCGCAAAGAAGACCTTATAATAATGACGACCACGTGATAATTCAAAGCAGTGAAGGAGAAAGAAGCTCATTTTAAAGTAGCAAAGAGGAGAGAGTGCTCGGAAAGATAAGGGCTAGTTGTATTGCGGCTAGCCAGATAGCAAAATGCTGTGTGTATCCAAATCAGGCAGCGACATGCTCTGCCAAACCATGGACACAG